GAGATAAAGAAGACAATCCTTTACGAGGCCCATAAATTGAGGTTCACTATTCACCCTGGGAGTACCAAGATGTATCAAGACCTCAAAAGGCAGTATTGGTGGAGAGGTATGAAGAAGGATGTTCACCAATACGTGTCAGAATGTGCGACTTGTCTTCGAGTCAAGGCTGAACATCGGAAACCTGCTAGAGAACTGCAGCCTCTTCCTATTCCTAGATGGAAGTGGGAACACATTACGATGGATTTTCTAATGGGATTGTCGAGGATTGAACATCAGCATGATGCCATATGGGTCGTTGTGGATAGGTTAACGAAGTCCGCGCACTTCATTCCCTTTCGTGTGACTTATTCCAGGAAAGTTCTAGCAAAGTTGTATCTGGAGCACGTTGTCAGACTTCACGGAGTTCCGTTGTCTATCACATCAGATCGTGAAACTCATTTCAATGCTAGATATTGGAGAAGTTTTCAAGAAGCCATGGGAACCAAACTGAATTTCAGCACTGCATTTCATCCTCAGACCGACGGACAATCTAAGAGAGTTATTCAGATTTTAGAGGACATGCTTCATGCTTGCATTCTATATTTTGGTGGAAACTGGAAGAAGTATCTTCATTTAGCTGAGTTCGCCTACAACAACAGTTATCAGAGTAGCATTGGGATGGCCCCATTCGAAGCGTTGTATGGCAGACCTTGTAGATCGCCAGTTTGTTGGCTTGAGTTAGAAGATTGACTGACCCTTGGACCGGATGTTATCCAGGAGAATAATGAAAAGATAGCCGTGATTCGGGAATGACGTGAGTATGACATGACTTATGAGGAAGCGCCCATACAGATTCTTGACCGAAAGATGAAAAGCCTACGTCAACGTGATATACCGTTAGTGAAGGTGTTGTGGCAACACCATGGCGTTGAAGAAGCAACGTGGGAATTAGAAAGGATGATGCAGGAATGATATCCGTATCTGTTCATATCGTGAGGTAAATTTCAATTTCAGGGATGAAATTTCTTAAGGGGGTAGAATGTAACGCCCTCTAGAATTAAACATGTTTAATTATGCTAAATTATGGATTATTAGTGTGCCTAATTTGATTTTCATAATTAATCAAGGGACTTTAAGTTATTTTCAGTATTTATAATTTCACCCCAAAGATTTTTGGAAAAAACACTTAAATTTTAATACATTTTCCTTTTTTTCATTTTTCTTTTTCCTTTTCTTTTCTTTTTCTTTTTCTTTTTTCTTTTTCTTTTTTCTTTTCTTTTTCTTTTCCCCATTTTCCTTCCTGTGCGCCCAGCCCACTCTCCTTGTTTTTCTTTTTTTTTCTTCTTTTTCTTCTCTGGTTCTTCCACGCACCAGCGCCATCTCTCGCTTTCTCTCTCCATTTTCTTCCACCGCCGGCCACCTCCTTCTCCAAGCTTCCTCCCGCCGGCGTTCTCTCCCTTGCTCTCTCTCTGGATTTCTCTCTCCCACTCTCTCTCTCTCTCGGCAGTTTGGCCGAGAACCACCAAAGAAAAAATATGAAAAACAGAGAAATTGAGGGAGACAAAGCTCGAGCAACTGATTTGAGGTAAAACCCTTTGAAACCCACTCTTTGATTCGAATTTTAAGCTTGAGAAAGTTTGATTTTGGTTAGATTTGAATAATTTTGAGTTAGGGTTTAAGTTTGAACAGTTATTGTTGGAATTTTAAGCTTGGGGGTTTTTAGTTATTGGACTTGTTTAATTGATTAGAAACTGATTTTGATGGATTCTGGAGAATATATATTGAAATTGGACTTGAATTGCAGGTTTGGCATTTTTCCTATTTATGTCGGCATGCTGCCGAAATTTCTTTAGAAACTTATTTTTAAACTGAAATTAAATAGGAAAACCAAACCTATAGATTGGATTCTAATTTTTAAAGAACCCCCAAACTGAATTATAAAATCATTGTGAAACTTGGATTTGAGTCAAGGCACACTAATAGGAAACAATTAAACCTGATTGAACTTAATTCGTTTTAGGAATGAGAAATACTTCCTAAGATATTACTTTTGTGATCAAGCTAGTGGAGAAGGTCAAGTATTAAGGCTTTAAGGAAAACGGAGGCTAGGAGAACTGAAGGCTAGCCCAGGTTTGACATCCGAGAGGTAGGATATTCTTGTCCATATCCTTGTTAGCCTCATTTTAAATTATTTTGGCCAATGAAAATGTTTTAGAACAAAACATGATTAAAGTAAATGATTTTAAAAGAAATAGCATGTGAATACTATTAGGTTTTCCAATGATTTTAGAAATGAGATTTTAAAGAGTATCATTTCTTAAAATGAAATATTTTAAGGAATGATACAACGCATGGTGGCCTCAGAGATCGGGATGTGGGAATCGCATACTTGGGGGCAGGTGCCGAAACCTGTACAGATCCACTTCTTGTTTAGTGGAATTATGGCTCTGCACTTTTCATTAGACAGACATTTTTACCGCTTCTTGTTTAGTGGTATGATGAGCTGCACACTTTCATGATACAGATATTTTCTACTATGTGAGTATTTCCTTTTCTAAAAAGGGATGACCGGTTCCGGGTGTATATCTTCGGACCGTGAGTACCTTTATTTTAAATGCTTTATAAAATTATATCCTACTGGGCCTTTCGCTCACATTTTCATGTTTTCAAATGTATTAAACCCCTCCAAGCGACACCAGAAGTAATGCGGAGTAGGCAGCTACTACCGGCGACGTGGACTTGTTTCAGGAAAGTGAAGAGTTGTATTTCCTCTTATCTCTTATCTCAAGGCATGTATAAAAGATTATGGATTGTAAAATTAAATATTGCTAGACTGGGGGTGATGTCACATTTACTCATGTTTATATTCATCTATGCTAAACACCTGTGGAAAGTCCTGACATGATACCAGGGACGTGGTTTTAAACTGGTTTGGTTGGAAATTCCACAAATGTTGTTGAAATTAAATTTCTCTTGAATGCATGGGCTTGTTTGGAAATACCTGGATGTTTTGAATTTGAAAAAAAAAATTATAATGTTCGCAACATTATATGCTAATCCCTCTCTTAAACAGGTTTAAGTTTCTAAACAAGCCTCTACGTCACTAACCCCGGTTTGGGGGCGTGACAAAACTAGTTGCGACGACATGTCGTTGCAAATAAGTTATTTTGGTGGTAAAAGTTCACGCCATTCGATATCGGGATAACAACTGACTCTTTCGCGACAACACTATTTTTTCAGTTTGACGACAATATTTGTGACGACATGTCGCCGCAAATGTTCACTTAATAGCGACGACATCGCAAATAATGTGGTCGCAAATAGGAGAAAATTGTAGTAGTGCATTAAAATAACACAAATTAATGATCTCGACAACTATCACAAAACATCATAATTGAAAGACGAAAATCATTAAACGAGAACCAAAAAAAAAAAAAAAAAAAAAAAAAAAAAAAAAAAAAAAAAAAAACCGCGACATTACATGAAAACCACAAAGATTTTGATAAACAACAACGAAATATTAAACCATGCAGAAACGACAGTAATTTCAAACAAATATCCATCAGAGTAATGTCATAATCATTAAGATAGGAACTATATCAGTAATTAAGATGAATATACAAAACCACAAATTAAATACGATAGCATAATCTATTAGTTCAAAGAAGAAAACATTTAAATACCCAAACACAAATTTCATTATACTAATAATAAAATCATGACGATAGAGACTATATGACTAATATACATAATATATGACTACAACAGATATATACTCTAATTTCATTAGACTAATACTAAATTCATTACGACAAGGAATATATGACTATAACAGATAAATATTCAAACCCACACACAAATTTTATTGGACTAATGTTATAATCATTAAGATAGGGAATATATGACTAATTAAGATGAATATACAAAACCACAAATTAATTAGAAAGAACAACGAATACAAAAAAGAAAAAAATATAACAAGAAGAAAAAACAGACGATTTGAGAAGAAGGAAAATGATGAAAACCAAATTAAAAACAAACCTTGTCTTCATGTGATGGAACAACTCTTTCGTGTGAAAATCTCAAAAACAACACCTTTAAACCAACCCAAACGTTTGCCTACCTTCAAAATAATATAAACGTCAAAGAACCCATAAATGGTTGCCAGAAACGGAAGAAGATGTTTGTCAAAGAACCCACACGTGTAAATGGTTGCCAAAAACAAATGGGAAAAGATAAACCATGAAGAAAACATATCAGAGTGAATAGAAAATGATTGAATACAAATAAATCAAATCCGGTTAAAAAGGGAAAGTAAGTATATACAATTTAATGAAAAAAATGGGAATAAAAAAAGAGAAACAAATCATAAAATTAACATTCCTAAAATACTCAAAAAGGGCAAATGAGGAAAAAAAAAAACCTTATAAAATTGAAATTGGCCTTTTTATAATATTGTACATATTTTACAAATACAACTTCAAGAATAGGTATTTTATGTAATTACTTCAATCGATAACTCGTGGCTAATACAATCACGTTAAAATGAGAAAAGCGCCAAAAAGATAAAAACGCCGAGAGTGGTTTTAGCAACAATAACTTGAAAAAAAAAGGCCACCAACAAAGATCATGATAGAATATTAGATATTAGAGTGTATAGAAATACTCAAAAAAAAAAATAGAAGAAAAAGAAAAGACGATTAAAAAGTTGAAAACGAATAAAAAAGGGTAATAAATATTGAAAACAATTATAAATAAATAAATAGCGGAAACAAATTCTTTAGACCAAACAAAATGAAAAACAGGAACCAGGGGGAAAAAAGGCCACAGAATTAAAATAAAAAAATAAAATAAAATAAAAAACCACACAAATTCGTGAAAAGAGCCAGCATCCCTTAACAGGACGAAATTGCCTAAAAACAACCACCACCTTAAAGGACAACAATGACGATAACCAGAAAAATTGTAAAAAAGTTTAAAAACGAATATAATTTTGTCAAACAACAATAAGACGGACGATATAAAAATTTCGACTAGAATTAAAGATGATTGTTTGTGACAAGTATATGTAATACTGGCAAGTTTAATCAAGGCCATAACGTAAACATAATTTCAATTTCAATGGCGCTTTTCATGAACATATTTTATGAAGGCAGCCAATGGCAATCTAATGACACAATGTTAAAAGAACTAAGACAAAATTATTGATCAAATCTGTCTCATGTGATCAAATAAGCTCGCAAGGGAATCGCCGGTTAGAATCGATTCCTTTCTTTTAAAAGCAATTGTTGTGCCATCACTGCCACCAAAGTAGAACACAAGGAATTCCTCAGAATGGATTTATCTTGATGCACACTGTAGATGCAGCTACTGTACATATTCCAGAGACTGCAATTGTGTTCAACTTCCTATCACGTGTCAAAAAATGTATCCGTCTCTTGAAGAGGAGTTGGCATTAGGAATCTGATCTTCGGTCAACAGAAACTTCTTTCAGACTCTCAGAAGCAGCTTTAGCCGTAACCGATATGTCTACAAGCATGTTCCGAGGAGCGAAATACATGTGTAGTGACATCATGCAGATGATAATTCCCAAGAAAAGCTGCAACAGCATGATGAAAAGGATTGCAAAATCATTAGTGATTTTTCTTGCATACTTATGATAAAGACTACAGTTACTCTTCCCAAGTGTACAGTTTTTTTCTTCCTTTTTTTTCCCTACCTGCAATGTGGGCTTGAAGGTGAAAAGGTAGATAGATAAAACCATTGTCAGCAGCATTGCCATTGATGTTGAGTAGACCTGAAATGTATCATATAGGAGAGTGAATGGCGTTGTTAATTGTTTCTCTGGAGTCTGGACACTATGAAAGTTGATTTGTGTCGTGCTAAATCTTAGCTCTTGTGAAAAAATTTCACAAATGACATATCAAAGATGTATTGAGCATCTCAATGCATCGTCGAATTGGTGTGTCTGTGTCAAATTTAAGCATTTAAGTAAGAAAATCACTCTCCAAATGCTATTTTTGGTGCTAAATTTGGCATCTGCTAGCACGTGCCCAAATTTTGGCATTTGATTTCTTTTGATTGCTGAAATCACTTTTTTAATTTTGGTAGATATACCATTTGAAATAGCATCATTGCATTGGAGCACAAATGTAGCATTGGCATTGGAGATAGTCTTAGAATCATTTAGTTTAATCCACTTGAACTTTGAAGCATACAGCCTGACTAGGAATCTGTTACCTTAACAATATTGTCAGCGTATTTCATCAACCAAGAGACCAACAAGCCAGTTGATCCAAGATTTAAGACCACCATCCAAGTTGTAAAAGTGTATCCGTAGAAAAGGCGTTGCCACCAGGGTCCGTTCTCAAACCCATGCCTGAAATCGTCCAAGAGAAGCCGCGCCATGTTGAAAATTGCGCCAAATCTGCTATGTGTAAGGAGATAATTAAATGCTTGAGCGATAAAAGGAAAATGAACAAAACCCACACATATCATGAGAAAGGAAATCTATATTAGTGAAAGTCTCCACAAGAACTTTCAGTAATGTCACAAGTAAAACAATTCAATATTATGTCTTTGTACGGAGCCATACTAGTATCTTCTATTCACTGCACATATATTGTAATACATATACATACATATTTTATCTATATTATATATATATATATATATCACACAACTGATTGCAGTCTGTAAAGAAGAGATGCATTGTCAAGAAAAGATACCTACGTATACAATTGCACATTCTGCCAGTACAAGCTATCATTGTTCTTCTTCATCAAAAACTCTGTGTAAACACCAGCTAATGCAGAAAGACAAGCTGATAGGATGCCCAACATATACCCTTGGATTGGCGCTGAGAATAAAGAATCACACGAAGCTTCTCCACAACCTTTAACCTATAACATTATAGATGAATTACTAATCAAATGACCATTCTTGACGGAAGTTTTTTAAAATCTTAAAGTAGATGGAAGTTGCATTTACGGATGAAATACATAAATGATAAATAAGACTAAAAGACAATCAAAAAATAATTATCAAATGTTATCTCTCAAAGATCGGTGCTACTATCCAAGTATAAAGGTAAAATAGTGTAACTACCATACATCAGACCTCTTTCTACCGAGAAACAAATTCATGAATTGCAGGCAACCAATGGCAGTCTAGAATGTGGGAAAAAAGCCTTAAATTCTGATGAAACACGGAGCAGTTTTGAAATCACCTGACTTGTGGTTGTTCCAACAGCTAATAGAACGATTGCCATCCATTGCAGATTAGACAGCTTCCTCTTCAGGAATAGCCTTAAAAAGTACAAAGCTGAACCAATCAATTGAAAACAGCAATGCAAGTCGAAGTCGAATGGAATGCATAAAGAGAAAGCAGTAACAAAATGGAATCTACCAAGGAACTTTTGTCCCTACAAAAACTAATAAAGTAGGTACCTGAACAAGATACCAGTAGTAACAATCTTCAGATTGCCCATTATCTGATATGTGGATGTATCAACATAAACCAGAGTAGCAAACTGAACATTGTTGTGAATTAGATATATAACTGAGGGAATAGGATATAGTCGCACGGTCTTCCAATCAGTAGTCATCTGTGTCGAAGGTGATGCTTGACATTCTCTCCAAAGAAGTATACTAGAAACTACTAGCTATAATTTTAAAGAATAAAAACGAAAAAAGGAATGAGTAGCTATGAAGAAAATATATGTAAGGGAGAAATTGGAAAAGAATTCACTTAATAGCTAGAGAACCCACAAAAAAATTTTAACCGCGGGTCAAGAGGTAAAGTGAAAGTAGCTTCATTGTCAAACAATGTCTAAATAAAGGAAACTAAAGTGAAGTACCTTGAATACTTCTGCAAGAAATGGAACAGTTGCGTAGTCATACAAATACTTGCCATTACTTTGGGAGAGTGTTGTCAGTATTCCCTGAATTATTTCATTAAAAAATAATAATAATAATCTATACCATAAAAGTAGATAATTCATCGTATTAAACGTACAATCAAGTAATCCGTCTGTCTCAGGCAAGAAAACAAAATCCACTAACTTCATCAAAATAATCTCCATTCCTTACATATTAGTCCTCTTCCATAAAAATTCCATACAGAAACATATCCAACAAGTACTTTATTTAGGGTAAATCATAACTCAATTGTATCATACAAAGTGCTATCCAAGCAGAGAGTTATCTCTCTCTACCTTTCTAAAATAAAAAATTTAAGGAGAAAACCGAAATACAAGTTCAACTACTATCACTAGAAAGAAAATAGTAAAATTCACTTCAATGAATAGAACTTCCCTAAAATTTTCCAAGCTTTATTTCACATTGTGTTTTCTACTAAAAGTCCATTATGTTGTTCTTCGCCAATAGAGCTTGACAATGCTAAAATTATAATTATAATCCATCAGACACTCAAGATTTAACCACATTTCTTTCAATCAAGTCAAATGACTAGCTTTTTCACTTAAAATAAGCAAGAATAGACAATAATAATGATTTACAACATTAATAATTTACAATTTTTCCCATAATTTGCAAAATTTTAATCTCCCATTGTCAAATTCATGACAAATGCACAAATTAACTGATCAAAATAAAAAAAAAATGACAAAAGAATCTTTCACTATAAACTTAATTGGGACAATAACTAGACAGTGAAATCGAAAAAAAGCTCAACTGATTTGATCTGGGGTCACGTTAATCCAAAAATTTCACTATTTCAATAAAAATCTAACAAAACCCATATCTTCTTATACTCTGATTCAGACTTCGGAAGCAGAAAACTAAAGAGATCTATCGAATTGGAAGGCATAAACGAGTTTGAAGAAAAACGAAGATAAAGAGTAAATGGGATTTGTTTCACTGACCTGAGAACTGGTGAGAATGGTGAGTAAAGCCGCAACGAAGTACCACTGCATCGTCTTCTACGTTGGGTTTTTTTTTTTTTTTTTTTTTGAGAAATGTTGAAACTTGTTTAGAGAAATCCACGATTTGGGGCTGGGGCTCGGTTTGGGGCGGGCAGGGTCGCAATGGCGGCAGAGAGATTTTGTCAAGTTGCGCGGGTAGGGTCGGGATTGCAACGGGGCTGCGCCGGGGCTGGGTTTGGGGCTGGGTAGGATCGCCGTGACTGGACTCACCGGAGATAGAAGAGAGAGAAAGAGGGAGTTATTCGAGAGAGAAAGAGAGAAGAGAGAGAGCGAGTGGGTTGAGAAAGGGAAGATGACGGGGGTATGGACTCGCCGGACCTGGGCTCGCCGGACCTGGTCTCGCCGGACCTGGGCTCGCCGGACCTGGGCTCGCCGGACCTGAGCTCGCCAGACCTGTGCTCGCCGGAGAGAGAAGAGAGAGAGCGAGTTGGTTGAGAAAGGGAAGTGGACGGGTCACGGGGGGTATGGAGATGTTTTTTTAATTTTTAGTTTATGTTCTCGTTATGCCATTTTTTTAATTTTTTAAATTAAATAAATTTAAATAAAAAATATATACCATTTTTTCTTTTCAATATTCACAACTCAAATATTCAGATTTAATTGCATAAAATCAATTAAATGAAAGAAATAAAAAAAATCAAGATACTATTCACAATTTAAGTATTATTAGAAACAAGCACACTCAAATAGATTTTAATATCAAATTATAATTTAAATTTACACAATTAAATACAGATTTAAATTATAATTTTTACTTAAATTATAACTCAAACTCAACTCAATATTTACACTTAAATCACTTAACTCAACAACAACATTTGCATTTCTCGGAAGTACTTTGTGATGGGTTTCTGTCCTGAGCTGAATTATTACATGTTACTTCTTAAAAGCAAACGTCATTAAGGATTTGATTATGGTGTAAAGGTTTTCAGGAAATACCAAGTGAAGCAAAACTGCAAAATTAGTCGGTCGCAACCCAACCCAGAAATTGGAGGACAGAAACAACTGTGAAAAAAAAAAGACAGTATATTAAAACGACGACAAGAATAAACGACAGCAATTTTATTTGGGAAAATGACAGTAATTTAGAAAAAACTAGGAAGGTTAACGACGGTAATTTTATTACGGAAAACGACAGTAATTTAGCAACTGAAGACAGTTTATTTGGCAAAAGAAGAGAAGTAACTGAAGACGACCGCGAACAATGAACACAAACAACTAAAACGACAACGTTTGGAAAAAAGATAAAAAACGACATGAAGAAGACGCCCACATAAAAACGACGCAAGTCAATAAAACAAGCGGTCCCAAAAAGAAAAGGAAAAAAAAGGCAACCAAAAGAATCATGATTCATTAACTTCAAAAGGGATGCGGTAACATAAGGAAAAAGGACAACATAACAAAAACGGTGTTCGGAATAGAAACGACAACATAACAAAAACGGTGTTCGGAATAGAAATGACAACAAAAACACAAAAATTACGCGAAATGACAATAAATAAAAAGAGCAAGAGAAAGAAAACACAAAACAGTAGTACTTTGAAACAAGGAAAAGAAAAAGAAATGTTATGATGACTTGGTTTATCATTCTTGCTCGCCCTTAATATGTCAATTTCACTCCCTGTAAAAAAAAATATCACTTAAAATAGTAAAAAATTTTATTTATGTTAATTATTAAAATATAAACAATTATCATTCAATAAATAAAAAATAAATAAAAAACTATAATAACATTTAATTATTTAAAATGACATAAATAATAAGCATGTGTAAAATTATGTCAAATTGTGTACTTCTTTCTAAAAATAAAACATAATTATAAATCAACATTTTACCTTTTATGACAACTCTGTCACTCTATTCTTCTTTATAAATAAAGTTTTGGAGGGTTTTGTTTTTTTGTAATTTATGACAAGGGAGGAAAATAGCATGATATCAAATTTGTAATATTTAAGGGTGACAGGTGACAGAGTTGAAATAAATGGATAAAATTTTGGTTTTTAAGGTATTATTTTTTCATAATTCAAGTTTTATTGTTACAGTATTTTTTCATACAAATTTAAATTCACTTTTTATCCACAATGTTTTTCTCTTACATTCATAACTCAAGTTTTCAACTTGAGTTGTGAAACAAACATAGACTAATTATGTTTTATTTCTATAAAGAAGTTGGATGAGGTGTGGTAAAAATAAAACACAAGAGAATGAAAAAGAGAGTAATAAAACTTGACATCATAACATTTATTCTAATAAAAAAAAACACACACACACATTAACTATTTCAATTCCCCTTCTTCCCGATACATAAATAAAGAAGTTGCTTTCTTTAAAAAGAAAAACAAATGGAAAGTTTCTTTTCAACGAAACAAAGAAAATTTGACGAGTAATAAAAGAAAGGCTTTAATGCTTGATTAAGAATCTCCGTGTAGACAGCTTCTAAACAAAATTCACTTTCATTCATTTGGTTATATGTAGTAGTTGTTGCGTTTTAGTAATGATTCAACTTCCAAGGCTTACTTTAAAAGTTCATAATCTCCATCCACTATTTCTTTTGTCCCAATGAACCATTTGAATTCCATATATACCATGAAAATGATCCATTTTCTCCTTGTAATCTCAAAAATAAAAATGGAAAGCAATTATTTTCAATGATCAATATTTTTATTTATTAAAAATATGTGAATGATCGTTTGATAACTATTCCGAATGAGAATAGAAAACGATGGTTTAGATTAGCAACCAAGGGTCATTATAACAACATTATTATTAACGGTGAAATTTTGTCAACAGAAATATGCTGGATTACTGTTTAGTAATCAGTCGGGTTACCAACTAGATCACATAATAATGACTAGGAAAGTGTAACTGGTTGTGTGTGTATTAGGAGTGGCAATTCGTGTTAACAGGTCGTGTTCGTATCGTGTTGAACCCCTCAGTTGACACGAATACGACCCGTTTATTAATCGTGTCAAAATTTTAAACCCAAACACGACCTGTTTATTAGCGGGTTGACACGACACGACACGATTAACCCGTTTATTAAACAGGTCGTAAACGTGTCGTGTCAACCCGTTAATTACCTGTCAACACGTTTATAAAACAGGTCGTAAACGGGTCGTGTCAACCCGTTAATTACCTGTCAACACGTTTATGACCTGATTACTGTCAACACGTTTGAACCTATTTCATAACCTATTTCAGAACCTATTTCTGAATATGTTTCTCAACCTGTTTAACATGATGTAGAGACATTGCATAATCTAAGTTCAAAATTAAAACAAACACATAAAAGTCTCACAATTTAGAAAACAAACATACATGATTAATAATTAAATATTTAAATAATTTGCTGCAGTAGGGGGACTCCAAGTGCATCATTACGTTCAGGAGAAGTTGATCCCTGTGAGAAAAGCTCCTCTTCTTTCAATGAAAAGTTGAAGATATCTTGTGTAAGATCCTCTACCTCTTCATTGAAATCTACACAAAAACAAATATATATAGATACAAGTTAGTTCAAAATCAATATAGAAAATATACATAATTTAAGTAAGTTTGAAACTACCTTTGTCTCCATATAACCAATTTCTGGTACAAATAAGTGCTTCAACTATCTTTGGTTTAAGTGAGCTGTGAAATGAATCAAGAACTCTACCACCAACACTAAATATAGCTTCAGAAGCAACTGTAGAAACAGGGACAGCCAATATATCATAAGCCATAGAAGCTAGTACTGAATATCGAAATTGGTTTGATTTCCAAAAGGAAAGGATATCAAGATCCGCGGTCCTAGCCAATCTTGGCTCATCCAAATAAAGGTCAAGCTCTGATTTCTGTGATGCAGTAGTAGACTCAACTAAAAATATCTCATCAAATTCCTACAAAATGAGAAGAAGATAGTATAAGAATACACAATCAGACATAAGCAGAGAACATCCGCATTACTAATAAATAGATAAATTACTTTGAATATAATAGCCACATCATCATTTCCTTCTTTTTCCATCATACAAGTTTCAAAAGCATTGGTCTTTTGGCTAGTTGAATCCTTCTTTTTTTCAACGTGCTCCTCATTGATATGCATTCAACACAATCATCTCCATAAAGCTTTTTGTAACTAAACTCAACAAGCCTAAGCTTAAAACGGGGATCTAGAACACATGCTATAGCCAAGGTAAGATGGAATTGAGACCAATACTTTTAAAACTTGCCCCACATTGCTGTTGCCATATACTTTAAGTACTCATAATCACCTTCTAAATATTGTTTCAACATGAAGCAACAATGCCAAATGGAAGGGAAGTACAAGTTGGTAGTGGGATACTTTGTTCCAGAAAATTTAAGAGTTGCATCATAGAACAACTTCAAAAAAGTTTTAATCTTTTCAACTTTGTCCCACTCGGCACTAGAAGGACAATGCTTGTAGTTTAAATCACTCAACTCTAAATGTTGAAATACACGGCGATAGTAAAGAGCACTTTCAAGCATAAGATATGTCGAGTTCCACCTAGTTGGTACATCTTGACACAACCCTTTCTTATCACCAATTGCAACTAACTTCACACAATCTAAAAACTTT